GTTTTATTCAAACGACCCACTGGACATCAAATTCTAAACAATTATGGCGTTATAGCAACTTTCCATTAGTTTATAATGCGTCCCTACAAGGAAAAAAGAAATGTGGGGTATCCATTATTTTTTCTAAAGCCTCCCAATTTGAATGTCAATATAATAATATAGATGCAGAAGGAAGGTTTATTATCCTTATTGGTCTATTAAATGGTATAGAATACACATTTCTTAACATCTATCTGCCGAAAAGAAACCCGATTAACTTGTTGGTTAAAATTCTCAGATTAACTGAAAGGGTTAAGAAGGGGAGACTGGTTATTGCAGGAGACTTTAATTGCATACCTGATCCCACTATGGATAAACAGTTAGGCCCCGGCCAAAAGATCAATAAAAATGTATTGAAACTGGCTGCTTCATTGAATAGAGTCATTAAGAAATTTGATCTGTATGATTGTTGGAGACTAGCCCATCCTAATGATAAAAAATGTACCCATAGATCTCTCCCACATAAGTCGGCAGTTAGAATAGACTTGGTATTGGGGGATATCAACCTCTCCAAAGCTATTAAGTCTATATTAAGTAAAGAGAACACCTGGTCAGATCACGACCTTGTTATTACAGAGGTCTTGGAAAAGCATAACAGATCTCCCCTGATCTGGAGACTTGAGGACGAACTATTGAAGAATAAGACAAATATTGAGCATGTCGGTAAACTTATTGACTTATTTTTTTAGAGAATTCTACTGAAGACATATCTAAGGAATGTCTCTGGTGCTCTTTTAAAACGGTCATAAGAGGGTACTAGATTAAGCTTGCCAGTCAACAAAAACGTAATGGAAATTTAAGACTTTCAGAGCTATACATTGGATTTTATAATTTAGCAAGGGCAAATAAGACTTATTTCTCCTCTGAGAGAGCAGCCAAAATTAAAGAACTTCAAGAGAAGATTAATAAAAAAATCTCAGAAAGAATTGAACATAATTTAAATAAACTGAATATTAGATTCTATTATAAAAACAATAAAGTTGACTCCATGCTAACCAATTGGTTAAAGAAACAAAATTTACAAAAGAACATTTTTAAACTTGTCGATAGAGGTAGGAATATCCTAAAACCTGATGATATAGCGAATAGCTTCAGAGATTTCTACACAAAGTTAAATAATCTGAATTCTAGTTCCAAAGAGGAAGCGGTGGAGAACTATTTAAGGAACATTAATTTACCTAAAATCTCGCATGACCAGAGGGTTAACTTAAACAAGATTGTATCAAGTGAAGAAGTTGAACAAGCTATAAATAACTTGGTAAATAAAAAATCGCCTGGCCTGGATGGGTATTCTAATCAGTTTTACAAAACCTTTTAAAAAAAGATCATTCCAATATTGACATCCACTTTTAATGAAATTGCAAGTAAAGGTCAAGCTTCTCAAGACCTCGTACGAGCCCATATTTCCCCAATATTAAAGCAGGGTAAGATCTCAATGGATATATCTAACTACCGACCCGTTTCTTTGATAAATATGTATGTCAAATTGTTTGCTGCTATATTGGCGGCTGGACTACAAAAAATCTTGCCGTCAATTATTCATTCGGATCAGATTGGCTTTCTGTCAGGTAGACAGTCAAGTAATCATTTTCAAAGAGTATTGGAAACCCTAGATTGAGCCCGGGCCACAGAGATGCCCTTCTTGACCCTGTTGATGGACGCTGAGAAAGCCTTCGACAGGGTCAACTGGGATTTCCTGGGACAGGTTCTGTCCCGGTATGGATTTGAAGGATGGATTACGGGAGCCGTGGGGGCATTGTACTCAAATCCTTCTGCAAGGATTGTGGGACGCGATTTATGCTCTGACTGGTCCAAGATCACAAATGGCACTCGGCAGGGCTGTCCGCTTTCCCTGTTGCTGTGTCTCTTATCAATCGAACCTTTAGCATGTAGGATAAGACAGAATGTTAAAATTAAAGCAATAGCTATCCCTGAAGATGAATTAAAGATCTGCCTATATGCAGATGATATACTTTTATCTATCACACAGCCTGAATCTTCCTTGCCAATTCTAATGCAGACATTCGAACAGTATGGTGTAGTCTCCAACTACAGATTAAACATAAACAAGACAACGGCCTTGGTAACTAACACTCAAGATATCTCTCTGCACTCACTGAGACAAATGTACGATTTCAAACGGTCCACTAGAGAGTTTACCTACCTAGGTCTAGTAATAACTGCTGACCCTAGTAAGACCATGGAGACTAACTTTTTGAGACTGCTAAAAGAAACTAATAGATTACTAAGAGAATGTAGATCACTTGGGAGCTCGTGGTGGGGATGGATTAACACCATTAAAACATATATAATCCCCAAATGGACATACTTGTTTCATATGATCCCTCTCCAGATTTCTCCCTTTTGGCTTAATATGGTACAGAGTAGGTTCAATAACTACATATGGAGAGGTAAAAAAATGAGAATTAACACATTTGCATTGTCAAGGAAAGGAGAAGACGGCGGTATAGGTTACCCTCTAATATTGCAGTCATATCAGGCTAATAGGATTTTACATGTCACTAATCTCCAACGTACTGTTATGAAAGATCAGGCATGGTATAAACTAGAGGCTCATAGGGTAGGGATAGCTGACCTAGAACCATTATTATGGAATATTACTAGTAATGATCATATTTTAACAAATAATAAAAAACAAACCTCACTGATCCTTCTACAGACTTTAAAAGAATGGAAAGGCTTAAAGAAAAAGCTAAATATTTATAGGCTAATTCCGGACACTATCTCTCCGAAATCTCTGGAACTTATGCCAGAATGCCAGAAATTAGTTTGAAAAATTGGTATAAAGTGGGTAATATCCGAATTAGTGATCTGTATTTAGACCACCAGTTGAAATCCTATGCTGATTTAACAGTCCTCCTAGCATTGACACTAACAGACACACACACACTAACAGGCAAACACACTCAAACTAACAGACACACACACACTAACAGACACACACACTGACACACACACACTAACAGACACACACACTAGCATACACACACTAGCAGACAAACACACTCACTCACATTAACACTCACTTTTTTTTTAATTTAACCCCCCCCAGCCTCCTTACCTTTAGGAATGCTGGGTGGGTTCTCCCACTCCCTGGGTTTGCCGGTCTGGGTGATGGGCTGGTTGCTGGGCGGGCGGCGCTGGCGAGGGAGCACTTTCCCCTGAGCTGTCTGCTCAGCTCCCTCGTGCGCCGCAGAGTGAGGCAGGGAGCCGGAATATGACATCATATTCCGGCTCCCAGCCTCACTTTGTGGGTGGCGAGTGAGGGAGCTGAGCAGACAGCTCAGGGGAAAGTGCTCCCTCGCCAGCGCCGCCCGCACGCCCATCAGCCCGACCGGCATGTCAGTTAGCTGCAAGGCTAACAAGACATTTGCCCTGGGCATTTGGGGGCAGCTTTTTTTGCTGCCCCCTGGAAAATGCCTGCCAAGGCAAATGCCTTGTTTTCCTCGCAGCTAAAATGTCCCTGCTCCCACCTGGTGGACACTCCCCTAGGGGACCAGATGGAAGACTGGGACAATAAGAATACAGTAGCCAATCACAGTGGCTCAAGGTCTGTCACTGGAGGAAAAACCCATAATTGCATTATTTAGATGAAATGACCCTCCTCCCACAAAAATGTATAACAGGAAAAATACCGAATGCACTAGGTACAATTAACGCATCCCCAGATAGCTTAGATCTGAGCGCATATTATTACCGAATGGCGCTCAGATCACATACATATAGTTCAATCACCATGGAGCCAAATTCTTTCAC